ACTTGTAGTATTATTACAACTATCGCTAATGGTCTAAATATTTTCAGAATCCTTTGGAATAACTAAGAATAACTGCGTATTTTGCCAAGAGCCTTGACTGGGTATTACTATTTAAAGAACACATCTTGGCACTAAGCAACTCAAGAACGTGCTGATTCTCTTCCTTAACGGAGGAAACACCCTGCACATCCTAACTGATTGCGGATCCTTAATACGCAAACGTCACACTCATCTGAGAAACTTCTTACTCAGCAGAAGAAGTGATCTTACAAACTACTTTAATAAGTTGAAGATTATAGGGAATAATAGCTGTGAATTGTAGCCATAGTAGCTATAACTATAGCGACCATTATAGACCTTACTGATCTACTTTCAATCGAAGCGCGGGGATCTCCCGCTTTTTGTGCAACCAAAATACATTATATCTACAAATACCGTTTCCAATGATCTCAAAATCACTACAAACTTACTTACTAGCAATCGTCCCCAGCTTTGCCTGATTATATTTAAGATAGTGAAAGACCACGATGTTATCGATTTTTAGTTTATTCAGAAAATCTTTAAGTTTTTCGGATAACATATAGCCTAGACCTCTGGTATTGCTTTCTATCTATTTATTAAATTTCATTACCGTTGGTTGAGCCATTCCGAAGTTTAGCCCCAACAGACAAGCGGACAGAAAGACAATTTTTTTTAAATGGTTATTTATATCTTTAAAGCATACAAGTCCTTCCAACTTCCTGAGCACAATTGAAGTCGGTTATTTCAACAACACAAACAGATACTTCAATTTTCATATATATCTATAAATATCTTTTTTTTTAATGCCAGAAAAATCTGGGAGCACGGAAGTGCCCCGCCAAGTCGAGCACAACAGCGGCACGGCCGTAACATCCTTTTCTCGAAGCAGTTAAGGCCATTTTCGACCCCATATAACTTCGTTGTGGATAAACTTAGCAGCCTGAGCCTTAGAGCCTTAGAGCCTGAGTAACCAAGCAGACATTATATAAAAACCTTTTATTTCAAATTTCATAAAGTTTGTGCGACAGCTAGCGATCGTATCAATTTGTACCAGTAGTTTAAGAATTATAACTAGTCAAAGTTTCTTAATTTTATCACTCACTCACTGACTGACCGATCATTAAAACTCTAAGGCACTTCTAGGCTATATAGAAGCTTAAAATTAGAATACAATTAGTGTTTAATGTATAAATTAAGGTTAAACTAAAATATTTTGCATTTCGGTCCAGTTTTCCAGATACACTAACTGCATAAATAACTTTGTAATCCTATGTAAATGTATAGCATTACAAAGTTACACTTGCAGTGAATGAATCGGTGTAGCTGAATATGTATACTACTATAATGGAATTACAGGTACGTTGTTGGTATTCAAGTAGTAGAAGGTACCGGAAAGGTAAAAAGTAGGACTATCCTATATATATATATATATATATATATATATATATATATATATATATATATACGATATATATTAGTTCATCTACCGTAAGTAGTAAGTTGTGAAATCCAAGGAATACCAAGTCGGTTAATTTATTCAGTCCCTCCTAAAAGTTTCACATGAAAACACAATGTGCCTCACAAGTAATACATATTATATTAGATGGTCTAGTGCTATTGCCAAGTCAATCTATAGGTATTTAAAACATAAAAGATTTTTAATATTGATATGGTCACTATAAGATGTTGTTAGGTTAGCTAATTACGTAATAACTTAAAACAGAAGGACCCTTAAGTAGGGACTGAATAAATTAACCGACTTGGTATTACATGGATCTCACAACTTTTTACGTTAGATGAACTGAGTTGCGAGACTTGTTTCTTTTACAAATTATGTTTTTGATGGCATCCTAATTTTGATGCAATGTTTTAACAACTTCGTTTCATTAAAATAAAGCTGTAAAGTTTAATAAAAAATAAATGCAGCTAATTTCGTTATGATCTTAAACAAATCTAGGTATTCAATCCTAAGAGCTGCTCGAGTTTGTGATGAAATCAAGTTTCAATTTTGCAATATTCCGACTTTAGATCAAAAACCTAGAACTTTAAACAATAATAAAAAAAGGTAAATTAAAAAAGTGACTTTCAATAGAATATTTATAATATATATTGAATAAAGAAGTTTCTGTTTCTATTTCAATAGGTAGGTACTGATCTCATTAAAATACTACGGCTCTGCTTTTATGTACAAAAAGCTATGACGCTTCTTACTTGTTTTCTTGTACCTTTTCTTATCTTTTTCTTAAAAAAAGCTGATTCGTTTACATTATCTTGAAAAAACAAAAAGAGGCGGGAATAAAAAGAATCCAAAGTCACAACAGAAATTCAAAAATAAAGAGAAACGTGAAAGGTATACAAAAGCGCGCGTAAAACACCTCGATGACTCAGCCTGCTCCCAGCCTAATACAAAAATTAAATGAAATTTAATAACATGGACGCAAACCCACACCGACAATTACCCAATAATCGTTGTAATACCACCCAAATTAATAGTTACCGCGTCACTTCGGAGTGTTTCTCACGAGCGGATTGACATGATTATTAATATCGGACGTCTTGAAGGAGGAGCGATTGACACTTTAATATACCGAACGCAATTTTTAACTAAACCTTGTTACGCCAAATCCGACTCTAAAAGCAGAGGTTAAGGCTGATTGAAATGGTTAGTATAAAGTTTGTGCGACAGCTAGCGATCGTATCAGTGAATCACTCCGTGAGACCAAGAGTTTCCAGCGTCACAGGCATACGAGACACTGATTTTGACGTGTCATAACGTAATTATTTGCGTGTCATTGCCGATATCTTAATTAGACTTTAACGCCGTTCCATACTTACAAAAAAATAACATGGCAAAACGTAAGTCCGTGTAAAACAATACCTAATATATACCTACAATATGTACATTACTGTATTTACCACTAATAATGTTATTGTAAACTAGCGAATCGCCCTGGCTTCACCTGGATAGAATAGGTATATTAAATGAGGCTTTATTTAGTTTTAATAATCAAAGACCATATAAGTATATTTTATTAAACTATTTTTTTTAATCTTTAAGTTTTTTGAATAAAATATAGCCTAGACCATCCTTGGCATTGCTCTCTTATCATTACGATCGGTTCAGCCATTCTGTAGATTAGTTCAAACAGAGAGACAGACAGATATTTTATATAGGATAGGGTGACAAACGAGCATACAGTCCACCTGATGGTAAGTGGTTGCTGCGGCCCATAGACATCTACATCTATCCTCGATTGCAAGTCAAAATGCAAATGCCATGTCACCAGTAAGGGCTAAGATAGAGTGCCTCGTTTCCAGTAAAAAGGGTATCCGGTTCTCTACGCTCATCATACGAAACAGAGCAGCATTAAGCTACTATTTTACGCTGGTATCCTGTGAGAGCGTGGTCCTCCCCAGTCGAGCCGACCCATTCGTGCTACAACTATGCTAAAATTAAAAAAAAATTGTACAAATATTTATAAAAAAAAATTGAAGTGGGTTCAATGTAAATAAAATGAGAACGTCATCAATTTAGTCGAAGTCCAAATATGCATTATTAAGGATAACTTAAAAACTACTGGTCAGATTTTGATTAAATTTGTATGGGACCACACGAGAAGCATCAGCCTTTAAGTGAAAAATAATAATGAAAGAGAATAATCAAAATCGGCTCGCCTAGAAAAAAGTTAAGAGGTAACACACATTAAAAAACATACTCATAAACTCCTCCTTTTTGAAGTCGGTTGAAACTGGTAATTCATGTTTTAGTGGCACTAAAATAACTCCCTCAGATCAATATAAAGCAGTTATTTCGATATTATAGACAGATTCAATATTGTGTATTTATGTAATAGACTTGAGATTAGCCGGTTAAACTTGCAATTATTCATGGTAGGGTTAACAAAAGAATAAATGCGTCGGAATTTGATTTTCGGCGCAAATTATGTTGATTTGCGTAGGTACCTCGTGTGTCGGTCGGGAGGCGTAAAATTTCCATTTTTTGTTTTAATTGTTTTATGTGTACCGTAAACCAGCCAACTTTGGTTTTTAATTCTAACATTGGCCACTTGACAAAAATAACAAAAATTTGCTGTAGTAAAAAATATATGTCATATAGCAACATTTTACAACATATTGTGGAAAATAGAATATATTTCTGGCAATACCAATCATACGTTCGGTTACTAAGTTCACTCAGTTGGCTGTCAACAGTTGTCAAATAGGAGTCTCTGCCGGTGGTCCCAAATTGTTCCTCGAGTTATAAAGCTTTTTCGCGCTTGAAAAATTGTCCAGGTGAGTGGAATTTTTGATATGTTATTAAGTGAAATCTTGGTTTTAATATGATGTACATCTCAAGTCAATATGAGTCCTCTATTATTCAGTAATTCAAATGGCCAATGTTACAATCACTTGTAGAAAACATGTGTCGTTAACTTTGGCCACAGAAAAATAATACTAGGGCTGCCCACTGATAATTTTAGAATTCGGTACCTACCTACTCTGGAGTTGATGGTACTTTTTGCTTATAACTTAGTTTTACAATTAGTTTTGGTATAATACCTAGAATAAAGATTAAAATATGTATATTTGCTTATTATTTATGTCCATATATATTTACAGAATGGATACATCTAAGCCAAAATCAAGAAAAAAGCAAGAAAAAGTCGCAGGCGCCTTAGTGCCCGGCAATGTAAAAATTATTCAAATGAAATGCTTGAAATAGCTGTACATGTTATTAGAAAAAAACAGATATCAGCAAGAGAGGCGGCGCGATAATTTCGCAATTCCTAAACAGATAATATTAAATAAAGTAAACAAGTCTCATACAAAGTCTGTCGGATGTCCAACGTGATTATCTGATGACGAAGAAGCCAAATTTATTAAAGTTTTAATTTCTGCTGGGGAATTCGGATGCCCACTTAGTAAATTGGATCTTCGCCTCGTCGTGTTTGAATACTTGAAAAAGAATAGCCGCGAGGATGTATTTAACGGAGGACCTCCTGGAAAAGCATGGTTTGATAATTTTTTGTCAAGACATTCATCAGATTTGTCAGTTCGTAGCACGCAAAATATTAAAAAAAAATAGAGCTGACAAAGGGGTTGATGAGATCATAGAATATTTTAGAAATTTAGAAGCGACTTTGAAAGATGTTGCTCCATCAAATATACTCAATTTTGACGAAACAAATTTAATAGATGATCCAGGATCTTCAAAATGTATATTTAGGCGAGGAGTAAAATATCCCGAGCAAGTGCTCAATTCAACTAAAGGAGCCATTTCTCTTATGTTCTCAGTTACAGCGAACGGGAGCTTGCTACCTATTTACGTTGTCTATAAGGCAGAGAATTTATATTCTGAATGGATACAGGGCGGACCGCGTGGTACTAGATATAACCGCACAAGATCTGTGTGGTTTGATTCTTTTGTTTTTGAAGATTACTTTAACACAACTATTATGGATTGGGCAAAGTCTTTACCTGGTAAAGAAGTCATTATATGCGATAATTTATTAAGCCACTTAAATGTGAGTGTTATCGAATTATGTGAGTGTCACAATATTCAGTTTGTTTTCGTTCCATCTAGCTCGACACACATAACACAACCCCTTGACGTCGCTTTTTTTGCACCACTTAAAAAAGTGTGGCGAGCAATATTACTCAAGTACAAAATGGAAAATCCCAACCAAACTACTCTGAATAAGAATCATTTCCCAAATCTTTTACATTCTTTAGTTGATCAAGTTGAACTATATTCATCTAAAAATATCAAAAGCGGATTCAGAGCAACGGGGATCTACCCATTCAACCCAAGAGAAGTACTGAAGCGTGTACCAGAGTATCAAGAAGATGTGGCATCATATGGGATTGACAATGCATTGCTAGACTACTTAAAGCAGATCAGGCAGCCAATTCCTATGATAACCTATGATTCCTGGAAAATCAGTAACAGTCGATGATTTACTGCTGACTTCCCAACTCTCAAAATCGAATGTACGAGGCAAAGTCAAGTCATACAAGAATACTACGACACTCACGAAGGTAGATCCTGCTGCCTCACTCGCAAGTGTCTCACTCGAGAATTTTAATAAAAATTACAATTATGACATTGAAAAAACGGGTCTCATGGAAGCCACAAAAAACACTGATTTAGTATTTGAAACTGATTTACCCGTGATTTCGACAAAAGACCAAGACAAGCCCAAAAAGATAAATATTCTATCTGACATCATTTTACCAGAATATAAGACTGAGCCTATTGCAAAAACTAAAACTAAATACTCTAAAGAAATTGATACAAGCTTTAACATTTTATCACAAACTTTTCCTTCAGAACGCAATATTATCATAGAAAAACCACGTAAGGTAAGAAAAATAGATAATATTGCTTTTAATATTAACGTTCATGGTGTTTTAAGTAGTGACGATAATGAGGATATTAGGGATGTTGTGAGTTGTTCTGCAAATAGCAGAGAGAAGACTAGCAGTAAAAAAAGGGAAAAAAACGTCTTTTGAGAAAAACTGTCAAAAAGGAAAACGTCAAACCAGTTAAAAGACCAAGAAAATCTCTAGATAGTTCTACAACTACTGAGGAAGATTGGATTAGCACCCATAGTGATTCTGACATAATTGAAGCACTTAGTGATGTTACAAATTTTGAAATAAGTATGAAAGAGTCTACAAATATTGATGAATCTATAAATATGGAAGAATCTATAAATATGGATAAACAAATAATAAAAGAAGATATACATCAAATTGACAAGAATTCAAAGAAAAAAGAGTATTATGAATTAGGAGAAAAAGTGTTGGTAAGATACTATCAGTCAAATAAATGGAAGTACTATGTAGGATTAATTGAAAGTGTTAATGACAATTCAAAAACTTTTACTATATCTTATTACAAATGCATAAAAACAAAGGATTCGGATGATATTAAATTTATTAAACTTAAGCTCTTGGATCGAGATATAGCCATACCAGAAAGTAACATTGTTAAAATTATAGAACTTTTACAATTCAATGAAAATCCTGAAGAATATGCATTAATGTGTGATAAGGATTCTGTGTACTTTTAAGAATTTGATATTATGTCTTGTGTTATCACAAAAAGTATATTGCTGTATTTCTTTGGTATTTACTAGAATGTGTCATTTACACGCTCATTTCCTTAAGTTCCTAAAGTATGTTTTTCATTTATTATTTTTTTGTTTTCAGTAGGTACCTAGGTTCTAAATAAACACTTTAAGCTTGGTACCTATTGTTATATATATTTTTACTTATAAATTTGAGTTTTCTCTTTCACCTCAACGTGATGATTAAGTAGTCTTGAGATTACTAAATTGAAAAATGAATCTTTTTTTTTTTAAGAATTTTGATCTCACAAATACGTGATAGTAATTTAAGTACTTACTCATAACCATTTAATACTTGATATAAATTGATAGTCTATGTTGTTGTCTACTTGCTTAGTAAAAGTGCCATATTTTATATGCTAATATTGTACCAAATAAATCTCATATAATAAAATGCGATTGATTAAAAACATGTTTTTTTTTTTTTGTAAAACACCCAACCAATATATAATAATTGGACAACCCTGAGTCTAAAACTGTTTTGTATGGAAATTTAAAAAAAGTTTCGGGTATCTTTGGCTACCTCGCTGTAAGCCAAAATATTTAACTTTTTGTGATTATTGCCTTTTATATGTCTTCTTTGGCCAGTTTCCTGTCATAGTTTTTAAAGTAAACGGCATTGAGACTATAATTCAAGAGTTATAAGCAGTGGCTAATGTTGGCAGAAAGCTGATGTAATTTTGGCCGACTAAAAAAATATATTTTTAGGTAAGAAACTGTCCTAATTTTCGCAATTTTCGTGAATTAACATCAACAGTTGAGGTTTCTGGTGTTAAACAAATATGAAAAACTAATACTTTACTAACAGTTTTTTGGATTTAAAGTTGATTAAGTGCAAAATGTGGCCAATGTTGGCAGGTTTTACGGTATCATATTCTTTAATTTTTATTTATATCAGTCAAATTTCTTATTTTATTAATGTGTACTTTAGAAGTTATTTATTCTTTTATTTATGTTTGTATCTCAATTTAATATGTGTACGCCTTTTTCTGACAAATTAATGCATTTTCTTTCTTTCTTTTAAATAATTATCGCAGTTTACCTAGGATTACTTAGAATTACCCATGCTTTTTGGTTATAATTGCAAAAAGGATAAATATCAAATGAATGCCCGCTGTTTTGTCCGCGTAAGTTTTAGTCCGTCTGATGAATGTCTTATGCCTATACTCTTATTATGAATCAATAATTGAAATTAGCATTCAAAATTATAACATTAAATACCTACCTAAATTTAGTCGGCTAATCTTAAGTTATTTATTTACACTAACAGTAGCCTTAACATATTTTTAAGTATTTAAACAATAGAAATATACATAATATTATTATTATTATTATTGCACGGACTCGCGTTTTCCTTCTACTTTAATATTTTAACGACAAAGAACAAAAATTTTGTGCTAATTTTCAACAAAAAGATTTTGGTAGGCAATATTAGTAAATAATGCTTTAGGTTTACGTCTGAGATCTCTTTTCAACAATTAATCTGCTTAATGCTTCTTATTTAATGCGACAAGATAAAATTGCTAATATACAACCATTGAGCTATTATGTACTACATACTAGAGGCGACACTGCATTCAGCTACTCTGTTCCACTCAACTGCGGTGCATACACAGCACTTAAATCAGTCTCTTGTTAGGCGCTTATAGAGTTGTCACGTGTTGTGTTGATTTAAAAACAATCTCTTGATAAAAATATGCCGTCGTGTGTACTTAGATATTGCACAAATAATTCAAGAAATGTCAGTAAAAACCAAGGAATTACTTTTCATCGGTTAGTAAGATACTTAATCAATAAAGACGTATTATGTAATAATAATAAAACAAATTATTCCCAAGACGCCATCTCGTGTCATGAAATATAGATTATTAAATTAATATGTTCAGATGCGACATTTCTGTGGATACTTAAGTATAGGACGAATATATTATTATACTTCCCCATCAATTCGGCTTCCGAGCCAAACACTCATGTCCCCAACAAGTTCACCGCTTTGTGGAATATATCCTCAGCGGTTTCTATCCTCGTCGTCATAAGACCATCGCGGTCTTTTTCGATATAGCCAAAGCTTTCGATAGAGTCTGGCACACAGGCCTCATCTACAAGCTCTATAAAATAGGTCTCCCCGATCGTCTAGTTCGTCTCGTGGCCTCCTATTTAAAACATCGTACCTTTCGTTTCAGACACGAAGGCACGCTTTCTTCACAGCGAACTATCAAGGCTGGTGTCCCTCAGGGCTCAGTACTTGCTCCTCTGCTGTACATGCTGTTCACCAACGACATTCCCATCCCGTCGAAAGGTGTTCAACTCTCCCTCTTTGCAGATGACACTGCCATCTACTGCAAAGGTGTCTTATACGGAACAAGATCCAAAAGTCAGTTGATGACCTAGGAGCTTGGTTCAAAAAATGGCGCATCGATGTGAACCCGGAGAAGAGCTCCGCCGTCCACTTCGACTATAAACGACGCCGTCTCAAAAACACTCCACCAATACGTATGCTAGGGACCCCTGTCCCCTGGCATACGTCCGCCAAATATTTAGGTGTCACTCTAGACACAGGGCTCACTTTCAAGCCCCACGTCAAAAGAGTAACCCGCCACGCACGGTTTTATCTGAGTAGGCTCAACAGTATGTTGGGCCGACACAGTAAAATGTCCCTTCGAAACAAGCGTACCCTCTACAAGGTATGTATACGACCAGTCATGTCCTACGCGGGCCCCGTCTTTGCCCACGCAAACCCTAACATTTTAAATGAACTCCAAATAGTTCAGAACCTCTTCTGTCGTCGAGCTGCGAACGCACCGTGGTACGTCCGCAATGCCGACCTTCATCGGGACTTAGAGCTCCCAACAATTCAACAATTTCTTAAAAAACTCTCTGAGAACTTCTTCAAAGCCTCAGAGTCGCACCCAAACCATTTAATTCGTGAGACAGCTTCCTATGCAGTCCCACCCCCCTCTCGCTATCGTGTCCGCAGGCCGAGAAACTCTCTCTCGGACCCGCCTAATAAACTTTCAAACGACCTGAACTGTCTCCTGGCGGCTCAGGCCAACTCTAATTAAATAAAATTATTGTAATATCTAACATTAATTTGCCTTCGTAGGCACTCCCTCAGCGGCACTTAGCCGCCTGCGCCCTCTTTTCCCAAAAGAGGGTCGCTCATGATAAGGCACAATAGAGCTTAATCAGCCGGTTGCCTGTCCCCAAAGGCGGTTTTTAGAGGGTATCACTTAGGGTCCCCGGTAGGACAGTGAGCCCCTCATAACCACGATAGACCGGCTATCGTGGTATGCGTAATGCATTTTCCGCCTCCCTACGTATAGGGTAGCCCTTTAATTGCTTCGGGCGCAAAAAAAAAAATATTATTATACACATTTGTTTGTAGAAACATATATAAGTTATTATAATTTGGCAAAATTTTTCATATTTAAATCTGCTTATGATTCTTTTATTTTATTTTTAGGTTTCCACATCAAAGTCAAAGTGGTATAAATTCGTCCATTTTTAACTCTCGCGTGCCCAGCATTTATGAACGACTTTTATTCTAATTTAAATAAATATATTTGTAATTTAAATGTTATGTTAATAAGTTTTGTTAAATATACATTTAGTATGTTTTTATATTTGACTTAGATACCTTTTAAAATATTTAGATAAAACTATCATTAAAATGTAATTGTGACATAATATTATGTAATATTATATTAAATAAGCAAATATAATATACAAAATAAATGACAAAATTTAAATATTGTTCTCGATATAATTTACCTATTTAACAATACAATCTACTATTACCTACGGGTCATTCTACCTATGTTTATTCTATAATAATAAAATATCCTCGCGAACACAGAGTAGCGCACATTTTTTGTTTGAGATAGCTGTTCTGGTACGTAAGTACATATTACTTCAATGTATACAACATTCTACTTTTTTAGGTATATAAATAGGTCGGGGGAAAAGTTTCTTCGTAGGTATATTGTTTGTGTAAAATTGAAGAAATATCCCTTTGGTTGTACCTACTATATGCATCTGGTTGGTTTTAATATCAATACATATAGGACATTAAGAAAAAGAAAAATAAAAAGTAAAAAACACTTTCCCGCCATTTCTCAATTGTTTTTCCGTCCGCCAAAATGAGTGAATCTAACGAAGAAATTTTATATATTCTGAAGTTTTATTACAAAAAAGGGAAATATGCGTGTCAAGTACTACAAACTCAATTTTTTTTGACGTTTACGGACCTAATTCAGTGCGAGTAAGAGTAGCGTTCTAGTCGCCCTCATACAGATAAAGTCAATGCTATTTTTTGAAGAAACTGGAGCAAGATTGGCATATTAGTAGTTGCGACAGAGCATTGCAGCAGAATTAATATTATCATAGTAGAATTAAGGATTGACCACAAAATAGTTTTGACCCATTTGAAAAAGACTGGCTATACAAAAAATCTCGATATTTGGATACCACACGAGCTCACTGAAAGAAACCTAATGAATCGTATACCTACTCATTTGCGATTCTCTATTGAAACATAATGACATCGAAACATTATTGAATAGGTTGATCACTGGTGATGAAAAATGGATCACCTCTGACAAGAATGTGCGAAAAAGGTATCAGGCTAGGTACACAGACTGTAGCGAAGCCCGGATTAACACGCAATAAAGTGATGTTGTGTGTATGGTGGTATTGGAAGATCATCGTTTATGAAATTTTACTACCTGGTAACAACTAATGAAACTCAAGCAAGAAATTGAGAAAAATGGCCGTAATTGATCAACAGAAAAGGAGTGGTCTTTCATCATGATAACTAGGAGAGAGCTTGGTTGGGAAGTGTTAATACATCCACCATATAGTCCTGACCTAGCACCTTCAGATTTTCACCTGTTTTGGTCTCTTAAGAATTCTTTGGGTAGTGTAATCCCCAAAATTTCAACAGC